CTCAATTTTTTACTGTGAAAAATTTACATTTCACATTAAATTTAACCATGTAAGGACACATGATTTGTACTTATATATATATATATATATATATACACAGAGCCTAAGAACTTATCTAGTTGCCTCTTCTCTGTTCCCATTAAACCAGTTACCTTTCCTGGGTCACTAAATGTTAGTCTTACCTATGTTGATGTTTTTAGCTATTATAAGCCTCATGTTCCATTCATAGTATAGGTGATTGGAGGAAACCTATCCTAGTATTAGAAAAGCTAACCACCCTGAGGCAGCTGAATGCAGGAGCAACAATGACGTCACATAGTGAGAGTTAACTGCAAGAATACCTACAGCAGTGAACTCTTCCTGGGTGTCTAGGACTCACCTGGGTCTAGCAGCTGAGTCCTGCAACCAAGAAACCTCATAGTCCCAGGTTCACTAGGGGAGCAAGTCTTCCTAAGGACACTCATCTCTCAGCATGGCTAGAGAAAAGACTTTCCAAGAGCCTAAGACTACTTTTAAGGAACATCAGCGTCCAAAACGTTTTTAGCTCACTTGTTAATGGTCAGTTCCTCCAAACTTGCTAAAAGGCTAAGATGTCCCAAAGTATCATATTTAAAGGCATTAAGAATATTTGTGAGCAACCACACAAATTTAGTGAGCAATGTATCAAAGGTCACTCTTGAAATCTTTCAGACAAAACCTCCAAAGGTTCTTCTGGCTTTATTGGTTTATATAGTATTTTACTGTATGCTTTTAAGATTTGCAGAGCTAAATGAATAAGCCAGTTTTGTATGTCTTTTCATATTCTTTTTTTAGGTGGAAACATTCAATGCCAGCTATTGCCCACATTCTTGCTTCATATACTGAAAGGATGACTGCCAAATGGAGATATTTACAAAGGCCCAGAATTACTTTTAACTGTGCTCCAACAGAAGGGCTGGCCTTGGGGAAAGAATGGCAAAAATATTCTCAGATATGAACATTTTTGCCTACAATGATGTGATCTAGTTCAATGACTGCAGAACTGCTTTCATCTTAATCTCTACAGATTTACTTGTTTTACTCTTATATAAATGTTCAGTGCCATAGCATCACTATCACTAATAAAAATGTACAAATACGTTTGCCTTAAAAGTCAGGGTCATAAAAGCAAAAATGAAGCCTGAGGTAAAAGTGGTTTAAGAAATGCCCAATTTGGGTTCTGCATTTTGCCAAAAAAATAGTTATTTTTAATTAAAAACTCATGCATGTTACCTAATTGCTACATATATAATTTTTCTCCTGATTTAAATTAATCTGTGTATATCAGTTATATAAACCAACAAGTGACTACATTCTTAAGGCAAGGCTACATATTCACCAGAAAAGGGCCCTATCCTTTCTCACCACATCTTTTCAGCTTCAACAATCCGCAAATGTGCATAATGAAAGCTGCAAACATAGTTTCTTAGGGACTTTATGAAAAAAGGAAAATTTCACTGCAAGAACAGAGACTGTAGCAAGACTTCTATTCCTACAGAAAAATGCTAAGAACAAACTTTATGCTATAGCATTGTAAAGGGCAGAACTCAATATAGAACTAAAAATGTAGCAAGTTACCCAGTGACTAACTATGTAAAATAGCCAAGAACTTTGAAGCCACAGGGAAAGAACAGTCAATCATAAAATGGGAAATACATAATATTTACGTATTTTTATATTTCTAAAACTTTAGTCTTAAATCAATATATTATGAATTTCATTGTTCAATATATTATTTTTAATTAGAAATAGGAAGCAAATCCTTAATTCCCATCCCCCAAAATAAACTAGAAATTTTAGATGAGTGTCTTATTTTGTTGGAGGGTTGGAGAAAGCCATTTTTCTTCAAAATTTTTTTTAAAATTTGACAGTCCTCTGGGTAGAGTTAATCAATTCTTACCTAAAATACCAGTGGCATTATTCTTCCAAGGGATCCTTACATCTTAAGCATTAGTGAAATTTTGGGTCCATTATGGTCCTTACAGTAGCAAGCCAAATAATACTGACATTAAGTTAAAGTACTCTGGCCAGGTCCCCTGTGGGTCATGGATGGATGGCCCAAGGAACTTTGGAAAAACCATTTCCATTGAGCCCAGCTAAGAAAATGAGGTCTGCATCACCTTCAAGCTATTTCCAGATACAGGAGAATGTGATCTTTCTAGGTATGTGAAGCAGCAATCTATCTTACTTGGGGACAGAGAGGGACCTCCTAAGCAAAGCACAATCTAGCATTTTTTAAGAGTTAACCCTACGTTGGTACGTTCTAGAGGCCTTTGTATTGGATGTATAATAATTTAATGAAGGGGTATATGCCAGAATTTTACCTGATTTTAATGAATTCCACTTGTGATTCTTGTCAAGCTGCCTAAAAATGGCATATTAACTGGTGCCAAATTATGCCTCTGGTAGAACTTTTTAAAAATTACACTGATGGTCTATGAAAGGAAAATATCGGCAAGCAAATTAAAAATATTTTATTGAGATCTGAGATTTAAACAATAGATTTACCATTCCTAAAATGACATGGTTTTATGAGTATATATGTGTATTTAAACTTATACACATATTTAATATACTATATTTCCTGCTAAAAAGTTTGAGGCAGTTCTGCTATATATAAAGTTAGCTACAGTATCAAAGATAAAACAGTTCCTAACTTAAGAAACTGCATGAACATATGAGACAAGTTCTTATCATAAAGGCTATCACGAGCTTATCTTATATAGCTCACATTTCCTGGTTGTGAGGCTCAAAACACAGGAATTCTACTCCAAAAGATAATTTGTCCCTCAATCACCACACAAAAGGTAGTCTGAACAAACAAAATATTCATGAAAATCTGAAAAGAAAAATAGAAATGGAACTCAATAGCAGGATTCTGACACTATCTCGAGACTGCATACCATTTTCATCCTGATTGTACTAAATACAAAAATCAAATATGCCCCATAATAAAATAAGGCTAGTATTACAGAGAAAACACTGGCTCCAACTGTCACAAAGTTCATAATCTTAAATATAACTTACATAGATCTGATAATGTGCCACTTGCCAGTCACAAAGACAACAAACTGCAGAGAATTTCAGAGATACTTGTAAGATTAATGAAACAAGCCAATTTGAACAATATCAACCTCTCTGGTGAAGAAATGAGGACCTGGGATATAAAAAGCACCTTCCTTTATGGGTAATACTAAAGTTCAAAGGAGAGGCATATTTTGATGTATGCAGATAAAGTATGATTGACAGGGGAGAAGGCAATCAGCAAGTACCATATAGATACATGTTAGCATGAGAGGAAGAATAAAATCCAGTTGAGGAATATGAAAGATTTAGTAAAGCACATGAAAGAAAAAAACATGGGTGATAATTAACTATCAATGCTTCAGTTGATAATAAAAGGAAAGATCTCGCTTGCTCATGTCCAAAGACTGAATTATCTAAAAAGATAGTTGAGGAGATAGCATGACTAGGGGCAAATGGAATGTTCAGCTTTTAAAGCAAAGACTGCACATAAAGGGATTTTTAAGTACAGAGAAGATTGTCTTTTGTTACTTTACATCCCACCATAAACCCATCCCACCCTCGGACCAAGAGGGTGCCTAACAGAATAAATGCTCAAAGTACTTAGTAATTTAAAGAAAGATAGATTTTAAAGGTATATATGGGCAGTTTTTAGAAGAGGTAGAGAAACCAACTGGGTATATGCTTTTCTGTGATTTCAACTAGCAAGAGACTAGACTGGTTTTCACGTTCAAAGTCTTAGTCTTGATGCAACTGACAACGAAGGCACAAATAAAGTGAAATTAAAATAATTTTAACAAGGGAAAATCTGACAATCTTAAGACAGATGAATCAAACAAAACTGTATATGGTTTAAGGTAAAAAATATAACTAGATATTAAATAATCTGCAAAAATATACTTAGAATACAGAGTAAGAGTACAGATCTTTAGCCTTTAGAATCTGTAGCCTTCAAGAAAAATTAGGCAGATATCCTTCTGGCGGCAAAGTGACAGGTCCTGAGAGCAACAGTAACCCCCCAGGGGACTAAGCCCTACTTGAGGGCTAGGACCAAGCTAGTTATCTTTTTATTACTCAACATCTATCACAGTGGCTGGGTAAACAGGCATCAGTAAGTGTTCATTGACCAAATGTATACAATAATGTACAGTCAGTACAACTGGTGTGGTTCAGTCAAGAAAGCATCTTCTAATAGGATGAAAAAAAGCACAATTTAGTGGCATTCTAAAAGATTGGCCTATATCCAGTTATATTTCTAATCCACTTATAAAGACTTTCCAAAGCTTATTTAAAAAAAAAATCAATGAAACTCTTCTTTCAAAAGAAATGTCATGTACAGCTCCAATATAAAATAAAATAACCTGTCATTGGTTGGGCCAAGATCAGTGGGAACTCCAACAGCCTCCATGTCCTAAGCCTACCCTGTGGTGTCACTTGAGACACTGGGAAAACCATTTTAGACCCAGGACAGCAGCAGAGCCATCGAGTTCTCAGGTCATTAAACTGAGAATAACAACATTGTTGTGCAGGATAGGTTCTAAATAATGTTACTAATTTTAAATAAAGATGAAATTCAACAGAAGAGACTTTATGGTTTGGAATAAAAACCACCTTTCAAAGGAAAAAAGTCAACAAAAATTAGGCCATAGTAGACAAAATATAATGCAAAAGCCAGTATCTCATAAAAACAAATATAATCATTAAACATATTCACATAAATGTAATCATCACCATGATGAAATTAACTACTCAAGAGGTACAGCTGCTCAATACAAGTGTTTGCAAAGAGTTCGGTCCTGGTTTCATACTGTACAGAAAAGTCCCACCTGAACTGTGGAGGGGTGCTCCACTGCTGAAATGCCATTGTTGGCACTGCTTCATTTAACATGTTAACTGCCTGGACCTTTTACTGCTTTCAGAGTTGTTCTTTGCCCCCAGGACTTTTCCCCAGCATTAGTATACACGTTCTCAAGTATGTAAACATCCACAGAGGTGCAGAGGCTCCACCGATTAGCTCCAGCAGTCCCCATCATGATAACATTTGGGACATTTACTCTAATCACAATCTGGGCAGTAGAAGTAATAATTAGTGGGCAGCAGAAGTCTGGAAGCAAGCAGGTTACTATGTTGGTGAAAATTTGCACAAGTATGGGTAGTTATACCACATTAAGTGGTATTGACCTGGTGCAAATAAATTTTGTAGCAAAGATTTGAGGAAGAAGATATATTAGTGAGAATGACACAAAGCAGTCTATCACAAAATAAGGCCACCTTCAACATTTTATAAACTGTAGAACCATTCTGATCTTCAAGTTTGGATTTGTGGAGAGGTTTCTGTATAAAGAAAAGCATTACCACCTAATAGAGAGTTTCCTTTAAAATGTGCCTTTGCACTTGATGCCGTTCTCTTCACCAGGAATGCTTATTTCACTCTGTTCTTCACATGGCTTGCTCCTTCTAGGTCAGGTGTTAACTCAGCATCACTTCCTTAGAGGCCCTTCTGATGATGTCCTATCTGAAGCATCCCATTTGTTATTCTCTATCATAGTACCCTGTTTATCTCCTTCACAGACACATAAGATGATTAAGGGTTAGAGTAACTGCTGTCTCAGCAGAGGCAGGAGCTATAGCTGTCCTGTTCACCTTTACCCAAAGGTTAAGAAAGTTCCTGGCACATAACAGGTGAACAATAAATATTTGCTGAATGAATAAAAAATTACTATACCAAATTTACATGAACACAAACATATACACACAAATATAGGAAAATGGGGAGTATCCAATAAAAAACAACCCAATGCTGACAGTATTGAAAATGATACCTGTACATACAGGTGAATATGGTTTCAAAAAACAAGTACCAAAGGTATCTATCTTCAAAACTGTGAAAATTTACGAAAAAGGATCAGGAGTGGTTATTTTCCATTTCTACTGAGATGCAAACAAGAAGAAATGTTTACACTGCAGTGAGTCAACATTAAACATTATCATTATTTGTTGCAGAATGGATGATCAACAGTGGTGCTCGAATCTCCTCACTGCACATCATAAAATATGGTCAACCACATACCTAGGATAAGTTAAGAATAGCTCAGACATGTAATTGTAAGCTTAAAAAAACTTGCTAAACAGCTTCTCCAATTTTTAAAATTCTGAATTGGTAACTATGTAAATAACATTCAATTTATAAATTGAATATAACATACTTTAAAAACAGATGGCCCTTATCTGCTGATCATACCTCAGCATCTCTTTTCTAGGTATTTTGCAGAAGCAATTACAGTTACAAAAGGTCCGTTTCATAATACAATCTGGTAACTAAGTCAAATGAAGCTACTCAAAGAGCACATCTGCTGCTGAAATATCTTAAAATATCTTTTTAAAAAGGGTACTTGTATTTATAGATTGGCTTTAAAAAAGGATAAATATACTGAATTCTAGCACATCCCTGAAAATAATTATACTGCCACTTGTGCATTTTTATGAGGTGGAAGGTTAAATCAATAAATGAATAGTTCATACAAGTAAATTAGTATATGCTGAAATCTGGTTGTAAGACAAGGGATTTACTCCAAATGAACTTTTACTGGACCCAGATTTAACTGGTACCAGCAGTATCAGTGCACTTATTACCAGCAATAATGTCACGCTGCACTGTTTTGGTATCAGAACAAAAGGGAGATCAAGAAAGAGGCTTAGAAAGGTTTTCAATATGGTTTTCTTACAATGAAATTTAGCAGTAAACAAACACAAAAAGAATGACTGTTAAGCCCCACTGAACACATTAAGGTCAAGGATTTCAAAAGTTAATCCACTTTTCTTCCCCCAAGAGTTTATTTTTGGTAAAAGGCAGAAAAAATCAGTTTTTCTACAAGGAAAATCTGCTTCTAAATGGTAATTTGAAAATCTTGATGTATATATATTATATATTTAAAAAGACACAAAAATAACAGAGAACTGAGAATAACAGATTAGGTACTGTAACTTAAAGGCTTGCCTAGATCAAGAAGCAGTGCGCGTGTGCGCACACACGCCTCACTTATGCAAACTAAAAATGTATGAACAGCACAATACTGCGATACTGGGTCATGATACATTACCTGTACACATAACTACTACTGTTATTAATAAACCTTTGGGTCATTCAGTCTTACGCCCACCAAGACATGATTAAGTCTTTAAATCTTCTCTTCTCCCTTTATGGGAGGGCATCTCTAGACACTAATTTTCCCATCTAATATTCAAATATAGGAAGCAGATTCCACAAGGTGCTTTAACTGATGAGACCTCAAGTGCTGTTTTCTCTCAGGAATTTTTGGATAGCAAACAGTCCATGGGGACCATACACAAATACTATGACAGAAGAGTTGTTATGTCTTTTGATGGGACTTGATTGGTGATGAAGCATTATGACATGCTTGAGCAGCGCACTGAAGGGGATCCCATCTGAGTTAATACTTTGTCCAACCACTGTAGAGGTCCATTCAGATGAAGTTCAATCCAGCAAGGAGTACTTGTTACTGTCTGCCTTCTGTGGGAAGGATTACAAGAAAATAATGAAATTAAAGGGAAAGATGGCTGTGATAAGGTACATATATTAAGAATTTTTGAAAACATAAAGGCCGTACATGTAAAACTAATTTATTTTAAATATTAATTTTGGATACTCAACTATTATTTTGAAAAATTATTTTCCTTTCAAATTAAAATTAGTATGGTGACTATTTATTATTTACCATCACATAAGTGGGATACCTTTGAAAGAAAATATATAGGCGTCATTATCAAGCCAAGAAGAGAAATGTAAACTAGGAAGGACTGTCCCAAGAAAACTCCAACATACAGTCATCCTACTCAGTCAATCAAAGAACAGTAGACACTCAAATACCAAAGAGTCTACACAAAACAGGGTTCAAACTTTTTCTTGTTATTTTCGTTATTGAGACAAGGTCTCGCTATGTAGTTCAGGCTTGAACTCACTGAGTAGCTCAGGCTGGACTCCAACTAACAGCAATCCTGCCCCAACTTTCCAAGTGCTAGGATTACAGACCTGTGCCACCGTGCCCAGCTCAAATTTAAAGTATATCAGAACAATAAGAATTTCTACCTCGGGTAAGCCTTTACCATAGTGTTATTAAGACTTGGGGTTAAACTTTCCCTGACAGAGCCAATATAAAACATTCCTTTTAGCAATGTTATTCAAGCTTTTGACTAATAAAACAAATACCCCCCTCAAAAAAAATACACACCTTTAGTACTTGAACAAAAGGAGCTACTTCTTGGGAATTACAAATTATTCAGTGACAGCCTGATTTTAGTTCTGTCTTCATCATACAGAATAAGTCAATACATCTGCTTTTACTTCTTCAAACTAACAGCCCTTCAAACATGAGAACAGTTGATTGCCAACTCTTCAACTCTAAACAAGGGCCGATGCAATTTAAAATTGTATTTCCAGGAATGTTACTTTCTATAGCCAATGGTGTCAGTGCCCACTACACCCTTAAGATTCTTAGTGTGTTCTAGCCAATTTCCAATTGCAGGTCTATGGCTGAAAAATTCTCTGCTACACATGCATATGTAGCAACCTAAAAGTGATAGGAAATTAACATCAGTTGACTGTGGGTAAAAGAAACTGAAATGCAGATAAAAGGAGATTACTTGCTCCGTTGGTCTCAATTTATTGCTACAGTTTATTTTTCTCGACATTCTATACTCCAAACTAAATTGCTATTCTATTGTCCAGATTTCCCATGTCACCCATCCTCATCTACTGAAATCCTATCCATCATTTAGAACCTAGATCAGTGGTGGTGTACCTACGGTGTGCATGCCACAGCTGGCTGTTTGTGAACATTGAAAGCTCTAAAAGTTTCGCCATCACTGACCTAGATCATGTGCCATCTCTACCAGGAATCTTTCCATGAACTGAAGGGCCAAATACACACTTTATGATATTTAACACTCTTCTTTATATTAAAATGTCTGTGCATATTTTAATCATTATCTTCTCCAGCACAATTAATCTAGAGGTCTCCAATTTTACTGCATTATTTTACACAAAGATCTGCTGACTCCACAACTTCAAAGAAAACAGACATAAATGAACTCCAGAAGATGCAAATGAATGGAATAAAAAATAACTACATTGTAGAAATTTAAGAACCAAATATGTATTCATACCGGTATTCTGCTCCCCACCCTTTCACAAAACTCATTCTTATGGTGCACATTCTAGTTAGCTGATACACTGCTTCAAAACCCTGATTAACAGACTGAGCCAGAAGAGCAGCAAATTCCTGGTTGTTAAAGATCTTCAGGTTACAACCTAGGATTAAGAAAAAGTAAAAAAATTGTGTAAAACAGTATCATCAGAAAAATAATTTTTAAAAGGCTATAGGTTTTAGAATATGAGCATGCAAACTATCTCCTGATTCCTAAAATTATTAGCAACTAGAAAAACTAAGCAGGTTGATGTGTTACGTTTATTTACATTGTTGAGTCCATACCTGGTGGAATTTTACACACTGTTGCAGGGTGCCAGCCGTATCTCTGATTACAGTTGGGGCTCTGCACAAAGATTGCACTATCACTTAGGCACTCAGCAAAAACTTCCCCACCTATGTAATATAAGCGCACTCCTCTTCCTAAAACAAAATACATATGGGATTAGTTTTATAACACTTACTATTTCAGTGTGACTTTGGGAGAGTCTTCTTGGAGGGATTCTAAAATGATATAAAGTATTTCCATAACTCTTGTTATAGCTATGCTTTTCCGAAGTCTAAATTTGAAATTAACAATGTATATTTTTCAAAGTTTTTTAAACAATGATTTTGATTTTTAAAATACATGATTATCAAAATATTTAAACAATGTAAAAGAAAGTATATAGATAGTAAAATAGTTTTGCACAAGTTACATACTATTTTAAAATTAGTAAGAAAAACTGAGATGATTTTTAAAGAATTAATTAATGTCTGGACAAATATTTTCATCTGTCTTTCCTTAAAAATCACACTCAGGTTAAGAAAAAGATAAAACCAATTAAGAGGTTAAAAAACCATGTATTATGGTGGCAACCAAATCTATAATAAGCAGCATTAGTAATAAAAAGTTATATTGGGATATTTTAATACTTCTGTGAGAATATAGTAAAACTGAAGAAACACTAAAAAATTAGCTATGAGGACTTAAAATACCTGTGCAGGCAGCATTCTAAGCTAGCACCTAACAGTCACTGGGTGTTGCTCTGAAGGAGTTTTTCAGAAGTAATTAAGGCAGCAAATCAGCTGACTTCAACAAAGGCAGATATGCTTGTTATGCAGCAAAAGAAAATTAGTAAGACAACCAACAGCCAGATTTAATAGATAAATGCAGAAGAAGCCGTACCCTGTTCTCTTAAGACGGTACCACTGTCAAAACAATCAATCATGTACTCTTCTTTTTGACTCATTAGAACCTTTTTGTCTTTATTTTCAGTTTTTTTTATTTTGTTTTGTTTGGTACCGGGGATCGAACTCTTGACCTTGCACTTGCGAGGCAGGCAGCGGCACCAATGAACTAAATCCCCAGCCCTAGTCATGTACCCTTCTATCAGGAAAACATTAAGTCCAACCAAGTAGATTTTTCAAACTATACTGGAAGTATACAAGTGACCCACAATTACAACAATCTAAAATATTGTTGAAAGAAGTAAATATGGCAAAGGAAACTGTTAAAATTTTATGCAAAACCCCAATTAAAACACAGAATAGCCCAACTATGTATAGTCAGAGGCCTTCCTCACCTGTAATAATTCATCAAGCAAGACTTGAGAGAATTTCCAAAGAAAGCCAAATAATACACCTCCTAGTCACTGTATTTTATAATATTAAAATCACTCATGGTTAATCAGCATTATTTTCACAGGTGATAGTTAATTCAAAGAAAATAGAAGCAAATTACTGCAAAAGAAGTTACTTGATAAGAGTGATGCTTAATTAGTGCCTCTTAAACTTTTTTCACTTCACTACTAAAAAAAATACTGACGACCCCAAAAAGGTTTTGTATATGTGGATTCTATTTATAGACATTTACTATATTTGATATAAAACTGAGTTTCTTTCCCTTTCCTGTGTTTTGTGTGTGTGTATATGGTACTGGGGACTGAACCTAGAAAGCACTAAATTAAAACAATCTTCCTGCCTCCAGAGTAGTTTGGATTACTGTGTGTGCTGCTGCACCCAGCTAAAATTAAGATTTTAAGATCTGTTAATTCATTTAAAACTAAAAACAATAAACTTATTACTTATTAATGTGAACAATGTTTATAAAAAAGAACTACTTCCAAAGTAAAAATCTGGAGAGTGGCAATGTATCCCAGTTTTGCAAATTTCTTTATTGTCTGGCACGAAAGAGAACTGGATTATCTTACCAGATTTACGTTTCATCTTTGGCAAAATCACATGCCACACAGCTTCTGGATACCCCACCATATACTTCTGAAAGTACTATCTTTGTACCATTATGAAAACAGTTCTGATTTCAAGCTGAAAGGGTTTCTGGGACTACAACTGATCTCCAGACCTATTTTGAGGTCCACTGAATTATAATTTTCGAACTATGTAAATGGTAGTTCTTGTTTTAGATACCTAGTCTCAGATTAACAGTTAGCAGATTAGATTTAGTATATGAGCTCCTGGGAAAAAGTCAGGAGACATAAACTCTTTTAAAAGTTCATGATTTGTAAAAATTATAATCCCAAGATTTGAAACACAGCCATTTTATGAGTTGCAGAGACTCAGCTTGTTAATGTTATTTTAACACATATTTACTGGAGGATTTGCCAGTTATCAAGGGTGCCAAAGATTAAGTTGAAGGAAAGAGTTTGCAGATTAAAGAATCACCAGGATCTATTAAAAGCAATGAGGCCCATGCACTTACACATGGTGGCACTTAAACTGGTGCAGAGACAGCTGAGTTTTTACATCTAAGCTTTTCATGTGGTATACCACATAATGCCCACATTATGAGTACAGAGCTTTTCACATAAGGAAAGTAAAACATACCTATATGTCTTCTTGTCATTTCTACTGTAGCATTTCGGTTAACATTGGAGAGTAAACCTAAGCAGAACCTCTCTGAATTTGATGGATCTGTAAAGCCATCTACAGTGAGTGAGGGTTGTGACGCATGGAAGGTCTCTCCAACCCTCTGATTTAATTCATAATATGCTATTGAACACCAAAATGCAGGTTCAGAGTAAGTAACTGGCTGTAAATCTGAAAAAATAAATAAGTGAAAAGAAATGTCGTGTGAACAACAAGCTGAAAATAGACTGAACACCATCATCTTCACATGCTCTATGCTACCACACACTAGCAACAATTTAGGAAGTAGACCTTACATCTATAATGGTTTCCACAGATCATATCAGATTTTCAATTTTTCAAATGTCCCCCATCTCATGAGGTTACTTTATGTTGGACTGTTTCATCAGTAGTTTTAGTTTAGTTTCTATTTAAATACAAAACAACCACAGGCAAGAGTAAGTCCACTTGCTTTAGTTTATTTCTAAAATACTGTACATAATAAAGGCAACATCTAGTAGGATAAAGTAGAATAAAGCCAGAGAAAAGATTAGCCACAGAACAAAATTTCATAATAAAAGGCTGTAACAGATTACTTTTTTTTTTTTTGGCATTTTGTCTATTTTGACATGAAATTCTAGGTGAGTTACCCTAGTTACAAAACATAGGAAATTCATGCATATATAAGAACCAGAAAGTAATAAAACATAAAATATGCAAGTGGAAACAGAATATAGTCATGAGGCTATTTACAGGAAAATAAAGATTGTATGTACTTCATGTCTATTACTTGACTAAAACATGTCATAAAGAAATGAAAAAAAAAAACCCTGATAATTTTGTGTAACATATTGCAAACATGTAGAAGCTGAAGAGAAATTATGAGAAAGCAAGGTAAAATAAGGGTCAAAAATAAAGCACATAAATACTTACATATACACATATACATAATACATTCACATTCAATCTCACAGACATAGAGATTATCTCATATTCCAGATACATGTATTTATGTGATGTATGTTTTGCATATATATACACACACACTTTATACTGTTACAAGAAATATAAGCATACCTGCAGAACTCCATCCACAGTCGGTTATAAAATTTTTGATGAACAATGTGTTTCAATGAATAAGGATTTGTTTCATACATTCATGTGTGCCAGCAGAAAAGACTTAGTTATATTCAGATATTTCAATCTTTTTAAAAAGCACTGATTAAAGTTATTTGCATAGTTACTTGTTTATTTCATTTATATCCCTTTCTCATTCATATGAAAAATAATTTTCGATATAGTTAAAACAGTGGGGAGTATTTACAACTTACCCAAGCTATGATTAACAGGGGAGAGAGTAGTAGGAGACAGTTCTGCTGGAGAGCCTAAAAGAAAAAGAGAAAAATTTTAAATAGATGCTGGCATATTTCCACAACTTCTGGTCAAGTAGTTATAATATCACTAATAAAACACAGTTAACTTAAATCTCAAGAACTAAAAATTAACTATTATATTTTAGTTTAATTTGGGAGATCTCAATATATAAAACGCACGAACAGTTTTGACTTCTCACTACCCAGTTCCCCTTCCAAAGTTCCTTCTAAACAAGATACAGATGGTTCAAACTACTCTATGAACCATACACATGAATATATTTTCATATATCAAATGGTAGCACAGTTTTGACCGTCAATATTACTGATTCAGAAATTGTTCATTCAACAATTATTCAATTGTTTGTGCTGATGTTTCATTATTGTCCATGTATCTATCACTCATAACGTTACACTGTGGTATATTATGATACCATGCTGATGAATATTCAAGGCTGCTTTTGATCACTAAGAACCAGGACTACAAGGACTAATCCTACACATTTTGCAAACTTCCAAAAATATCTGAATACTTTTAACAGAGAAACTGCCAGGCTGAGTTTGTTTATAATTATGATAGATTTTGCTAAAATTATCATTCAGAAGTTCTACCAGTTTACATTCTCAGTAACAAAATAAATGGTGATGAGTGATCGATGTTGATTAGTGAAAACATACTCAACAAGTATAGTTTTAATTCACATTTCCCTTATAAATGATATTGATAAGTTTTATGGTTCTTTACACTCCTTTTTCTGAATAGTCCTTTCTTTTGCTTATTTGTCTGTTGTATTAATCAGTTTTCTCACTGATTTGTAGAAACCTCTTTATGAATTAAAGGTATTAGTCCCTTCCTGGTAGAGTGTGCAACTATTTGGTCATTTATTTTAAGACTCATTTCTAGTTATGATCATGCAGAATTTAATGGGGTTCATGTCACAGTTTAGTAAAGAAGTTGTGACAGTGAATATGCTCATCTTAACCTTGACTGTGAGATAATGCTTGTGGTATTTTCCCACTAAGCATGAAACTGGGTTTGAAGCTAAGAGAGAAAGTCACTTATTCCAGATTTTTGCATCAATTATCTCAAGAAATAGTGATGAGTAGATTTGCAAGAGTGTTATGTTTCTAAGGTTCTGTGATCAATGTAATGAAACTTAAAAGCTTTATGTCTTTCAATGCTTTTAAACAATTTAAATTGCATTATAACAGCACAGCACATTCTTTTAAAAGTAGTAGAATTCTCTTGTGACATGGCAGTTGACATTTTAGGGTTACCAAAACATTTCTCTATTTCTTCCATGAAAGTTGACTTCTTAAGAGAGCTCTATTTAGCTGAAGATTTAGCTCAGTAGCTCCGCTGCCTGCACCGCAAGCACAAAGTCCCAAGTTCCATCCCCAGTATAAAAAAAAAAAAAAAAAAAGGGAGTTCTATTTATTGTAATCAGTTTTATTTACTGAGTTATATTTTCTCAGAAAATTATACAATTCTGTTTTAAGTAAACAAGCTAAATCTAATCAAGAAAATGAGAGGGCATAAATATACAGAATAAGAGAAATGAACAGACAAAAAAAAATTACTGGAACTACTTCACTCAATTCTATGCCAATTACATTTTAAAATACATTTGCTGTAAATGTTAAATAATCTTTTTATAATTAGAAATACAGGATAGTTTTGATGATGATCATTCAGGGAAACACCTTCAAAAGCATGACCAACATATAGCTCTCAAACTTCAAACATACATTATGGCACAGATATGGAATAAGTGAGGTCAGAAGACTTCATGAAGTCCTTTTTACCACATACTACTATGGCCATAACATAAAATGGCAGGTAAACAAAGGGGAAAAAGAAAACCCTAGATAAACAGATGAAAGACTAGAACACATGATAATTATTTTTAGAAAACAGAATAGTTTCCCTAACACACTTAAATTACGTTCTTTGTTCCTCAGGTGAAAAATCTGTTGGTAAGTCACAACAGGTAGAACTAAGAAAGGTCAAAATAAATTTAGAACAATGAACTAAAACTCACTGCTGCTTCCTGAAGCAGATATAAGGTAAAGCCACTATTAGAAATGCAAGAAACTACCTGATTATTTGTATCTTTTAACTGTTTAATTCTCTATTAAATACTGATCAGAGGAGACCAGGAAGATCATAATTTATCAACTTAAAACCAATTAGGAGTCTAGTTATATGTGACAAGAGTTAGATTTATAGATGACAAAAAGAGAGGCTCATTACAAAATTTTAAGAATTTAGATTAAGTGAAGAAAGATTTTAGAAAAAAATTTTTGAGATAAGTACCTGATGATTAAACTATATATTATTCACATATAAATGCTGCTGCTGAAGTTAGCTTACAAAAAGCATTTCAGTTGAGATGGTAATAAATATTCTATTTCAGCTAGTTTGAAACAGCACTGTTACATGCTGCTAGAACATCCAGAGAAATCATTATGCACATATCTCTGCATATTACTTCACATGTATTTGTGCTATACATTTTCCAAAGAGGAAATGTTACTTATTTTTATAAGTAAGTGCATAAATAAACAACAAAAATTTCTTAGTGTCTCTTTGCACTGTTATCAAATATTGACATTTGCCACTGCAAAGGGCTTACAGGGGGAAGCTATTATTTACCTTTTTTTGTTATACATACTACATTCATATTTTTTGTCCATTTTTCTATTAACTACTGTCTTTTTTTCCTCTTGATTTGTAAGTTTTTAAATTTTGAAGTCAGTTATTGGAATTGGCATGTATTTGTAAATATTTCCCTCAGTTTTCAGATGTTATGGTGTATCTTTCCAGGTGACATTAATTTTTTTTCTTATTTTTTAAAGTAGTTTTAGGTTCACAGCAAAACAAAATAAAAAGTACAGAGATTAACATGTCTGACACCCCCACACATATAATCTCACTACCAACATTCCCATAGTACAATGGCACACTTCTTATAATCAAGGAACCTAGGCTGACAGCATATCCTATCACCAAAACCCCAAAGGCTCACTCTTGGTCTTATACTTCCAACAGGTTTTGATAAACATCTAATGACATTGATTCATCAGCTGTGGTAAAACAGAATAGCTTCACTGACTAAAACATGCCCTGTGCTTCACTTAGTCAATCTTCCCTTCTCTGTAACCCCTAGTTTTTACTGTTTCCATAGTTTTGCCTTCTCCAGAATGCCACATAGTAGAAATCATTCAGTATATAACCTTTACAGATTAGCTTATTTTACTTAACAATGCACATTCCTCCATGTCTTTTCATAGCTTCATAGCTCATTTCTTCTTAGCACTGAACACTATTACATTATTGGGACATACTATAGTTTATCCATTTACCTATTAAAGATATCTTGGCTGCTTCCAAATTTTTGGCAATTATGAATAAAACTTTTGTAAACATCCATGTGCAGGTTTGTGTGTGAACGTAAGTTTTCAATTCATTTGGGTTACTATCAAGGAATAAGATCGTAAGACTATATGTTAAAGAGGATGGGTAGTTTTCTAAGAAATTGCCAAATCTTCCAAAGTGGCATCTGCCAAATTAGGATACAGAAAGATACAGAATTGAGCATGCTAAAGGAAAAACCAACCAAAAAAATTTTTCTTTTTGGTACCGGGGATCAAACTCAGGGCCTTCCGCTTGCGAGGCAGGTGGCGGAACCACTCAGCTAAATCCCGGGCCCACCTCACCCAAAATTTTAACGGCCATGCCCAGGCAATTGAAATTGAGAACCCCCAAGCTGGTCATTAGCAGATTTTTATATACACAGTTCTCTACTGTGTTTGTGGCAGCACAGTAAATCTTGGGCAAAGCTAGAAAACAGTGAGATATCCTATAGTTTTGTCATACTTATATATGTAAGCCTTACTGACCCTGACCCACTATGAAACCTGAGATGATCTGACATTAAAGCACCATGTTATCAGGCTGGGGATTTAGCTTAGTGGTGCCGCTGCCTGCCTTTCGATCCCTGGTACCACACACACACGCACACACACACACAAAAAGCACCATGTTATCACTCACCCAACTCAGGTTCTACTTAGAGGAGAGATCAGCTCTTTAACTTAGCAAGCACAAAAAGAAATGGGTGGGTCTTTCCAAGGGAAAATATTATCTATATTACTCTACACTTCTATTTTATGTACAACACAAAATATCAAATTAAAAAACACAAAACAAAGTAGGAAAATCAGATCCATAATCAAAAGATGGAATAGATCAACAGACACAGATCTACATATTAACCAGACACTGGGATTATCAGATAAAGACTTTACAATAAAAATTATAAAACTGAAAATTAAAATATCTCAAAACAAAGATTTAATTGGCTTAACAGCAGACCCATGTATATATTATCACTTGATTTTCAACAAAGGAGCCAAAGGAAATCAATGGAGCAAGAAAAGTTTCTTCAACAAATGGCAATGGAACAAATGTCTGCAGGAAAGAAAGAAATGGTAAATATGAAGCATGATATTTTTATCCTTTAAAAAACTCAAAGTCTAAAGCTAAAATAACATTGTACTTTAGGTTTAAATGTATTTATAAAGCAAAATAAATATATGAAAATAGCACAAACCACAGTGGTACATGAATGTAATTCTAGCAGTGTAGTTATATTTTATATCAAGTTCTAAAGTATTACAACTTAAGCAACCTTCTAGGTAAAAGGTGCTTCTAAGAACAGTGCAATCACTACAACACCTACTGAGAAATTTATACTAAATGTTACTGCTAAAAAGCCAAAAGAGAATAGAATAAAAAATATCTGCCTTATCTAAAGGGCAGGACAATACAGAGGAACAAAAACCACATAGGACAAACAGAAAATAATTCTCAAAGTGGTAACCTAACTGCTATGAAAACAATTAATTATTTTAAATAAAAGTGGACTAAATTTTCCAATTAAAAGACAAAGATTGGTTGAGCAAGGCACAAAATGCTATCGTCCATAAGAAACATATCTTAGAAATAA